CCCTCCAATCTTGCCCCAGGCTATCGGGCCCGGCTTTTTTGGCCATGTGGCACTTTCCATCGTATTCACTTAGATTCTCTCCTCTCCTCTGACTGGAAGCTGATTAATATGGGCTCATTGCTAGCGTGATTTAACGACCTCACACTCCACATCCACTCAGCACTTCTGACAGCATATTTCAGCACACCCTTTCCAGTCCCAGCTTCAGGCCCAGAAAAGCCTGGCCTGGCTGTAGCCTCTTATGTCCACTAGGGGGCAGTTCTGCCCATGTTTCCTGGCAGCCCCATGCAGCATCCTTCCCTGAACCTCTGGACAGGTCATCCCACCAGGTTACCCAGTACTCCACTTTCTTCCACTCATATTAACCCACTTGAAACACTGAAACTCTTTTCCTGAGCCTCTGACCCAGCATTTTTTTTTTTTTTTTTTTTTGCGGTATGCGGGCCTCTCACTGCTGTGGCCTCTCCCGTTGCGGAGCGCAGGCTCAGCGGCCATGGCTCATGGGCCCAGCCGCTCTGCGGCATGTGGGATCTTCCCGGACCGGGACACGAACCCGTGTCCCCTGCATCGGCAGGCGGACTCTCAACCACTGCGCCACCAGGGAAGCCCTTGACCCAGCATTTTTACACTGGCTACACACAATCACCTGGAGAGCTTTAAAAACGTACAGGCTCCACATCAAACCAAACCTAGCATTGCTAGATGTGGGGGGCTGGCACGGGTAATTTTAAAAAGCTGCCCTGTGATCTCATAAACGTCCCGGGCTGAGACACACGGAAACCCTTTCCCATCCAGGCAGCTATCTTCTTACTTCTGGAATATAATCCCCTAAAACTTTGCTCCCTACCCTTGGGAGGGGACCACTTTAAAAGAGGCAGACTGGAACAGTGCTAGTCAGAGAATCCAAATACCATCCTTCCAAACACACCAGGCTGCTAAGAGTGGAGGTGAGATGTCTCTGTTCACTTTGCGCATCCATATCTCTGCAATGGAGGCATTTTAAATAAATGCAACTCTTGTCAGAAAAAAATACAGTAAACATAAGTGAATATCTTAATATTCTCCTATCTTACAACTCTGAGAACGAGTGACCACACAGAGGAAATAAAGTCAACCTGGAAATCCATTTCCTCTTCCCCAGGGCTGACATCCGGTAGGGGCTTCCAGAATGCCATATCCTAGCATTTCTCAGAGACACAGAAAGGACTTCGTGTCTGAGTCTGATATGAAGACTGGAAATCTCTTCTTCCCCCAGCAATGCACCTTATCCCTTCACACTCCAACCCAGAGAGATATAGAGGGAGGAAGTGCTTGCCCTCAAAGCACAAAGGCAGAGGGAATCGCCACTACTGAGGGGGCTGGTCCCTCATCACTGCAATTTGCATTAATTATTCCAGTTTCTGTAGATGGGTGCTCCCGTTTCCCTCATTTGCTCTCCTGAGATAGTACTTGAGTACCGGGTTTGAATCCCAGTCCACCACTTACTTCACCTCTCAGCCCTTCAGTTTCCTCATCCAGAAAATGGGGATAAGAATAGCATCTAACTCATCTAGCTTTTGTGAGGATGTAATGAAAAAGGGCATGGAAAGCACTTAATATCTGGGACAATGCTATGTACTAATAATGCCAATAACAATACTTTTGTTAAATTATTTTAGATAATTTTTGTTATTATTCGTTCACAAATGAGTAATCTGAGGCTCAGAGTTTGATTTGCTGGCAGTGAAACAAAGATTAGAAGTAGGTGTGTCTGACTTTTCACATCTACACTGTGTTCTCGTTAGACATTGGACAGTAGGTCTCAGACACATCCAGGGGCTTACTTGGCTTGGCCCAGCAAAAGTGTGTGTCCCAGCTGTCCACCTGGGGCTGTCCCGCTCCTCCATTACACCCATGGCAGCCCAGGGGCCCAGTGAGAGAGGTGATTCTGACGAGGCTGCTCTCTGGGAGGGATTCCCCCTCTTTCCTTTACAGATGGCTTGGCCTCTGCCATGCCTGGTGGGTGTCAGAGCCAGGACTAAGATCTGGGTCCCTGACTGGATATCCAGTCCAATAACCTTTCCATTCCACCTGAGAATGTCTAACTTCAGACTTGGAGCCTCTAATAACTGCCCTTCCCCTTAAGCCTCAACACATAGACAAAGGCCTGAAAGCTGGGGGAGGGGAGGGGACTGGCTCTGAGTGGTAGGGTCCATCCTTAGACGCACTGGTTCCACTAAATCAACATGCTGAGAGGAAATGAGGAGGAAGGGTGGCAGTGTAGTGAAGTAAGTGTTCTGGAGTCTAAAGGGACTCAGGTCTGAACTCTGGGCCTCAGGTTCTCCACCTGTAAAGTGGGAATAGTAATAGTACCTAGTCCATCGGGCGTTCTGAGGATCCTTTGGGAATAGAATACAGAAACTAACACAACACTGTAAAGCAATTATACTCCAATAAAAATTTTTTTTTAAAAAAAGAATATACATAAACTATCTCTGGAAGGAACAAAAGGAAACTGGTAACCCCTGGAGGGACTGCTGGTGGACAGTGGCAAGGGTGACTCACGTTTCACCCTTTTGAACTCATGTACCTGAATTCGCTCATTCAAAAAATAATTTTATTATGAGTGAGTTTTGGGGGTTTTTAGAACAGTATCTGGTACTCAATAAATATCAGGGGTTTTTTAATAAAGAAGATTTGATACAGGCCTCCCACCTGACATCAAATCATCTCTTTTCCTCCAGCTTCAAGTCAAAGCAAAGGCTTCAAACCCAAGAGGCAGGTGGTGAATGAGTGGGCTTTAGGTGCAGCCTAAAGAGACCTTAGGTGGGTCCCTGTGTCCCCCCACTTACTAGTTGTCTGGCCTCACTTTCCTCAGTTATAAAAGGAGGCTAATGTTCTCTCCCCCACAGGCTGTCGCCAGGATTTAATGAGATCAGAGCTCAAACCAAGTGAGCTGGGCCCCTGCCGGACCCACTGGAACACGCCACACACATGGCTCATGACACCTGCAGCTGCCACTGTCATCCCCATTTTACAGATGAGCAATGGGAAGCTCGGGCTGGTGAGGTAACTTGTACACAGTCACTCAGCTGGTAACTGGTGAGGCCAGGACAGTCTGGCTCCAGAGGTGGTGTCCCTAACCACTGCACCACCCTGCCTCTCCTGTGCATGTCCCATAGTTAGAGCACTGGGCACATGAGAACTGCTCTGTGGGATAGAGCTGTGACTGCCACCGATAGATGTTAAGACCTTTCCCAGGCCACTTGGTAAAACACTTGGGGCACGGCTATTTGACAACTCACAAACACCTTCTGGGGGCATCATTTAGCCAAAGAACCAGGCAGTGCTGGAAGAGCTGGAGAGATCCTTGCCTTGGTTCTCCCATAACCGCAAATTCCACAGCCAGTCCTCACAATCCAGGGAATCAATGTGCTCCACACTCTTGGCTCATCCATGCTGGTTCTGGTGGCTTCAGACTCCACACTGTAGACAACGCCCCAGGCGATTTTAAAAAGCCTAGAGTCTGCCGGCTGGGCGTTTGCAGCAATGCAGTGACAGCCGAGGGCAAGGGCGAGCTTCCCCAGATCTTTCAGACACTCCCACCCACCACCACCACCACAGCCAAAGGGATTTCGGGACAAGCCACCGCAAGGGACAGGCTGTTCTTTCCTACTGGTCAGTAGCACAAATGTGGGACCAACCAACGGGGAAATCGGGGAGTCTCACCCCACCCCCGCTGCTCGTCATGACCGCGCGCACACACACGCACACGCACACACACACACACACAAGATCCAGAAGCAGCACCCAGCCTGTTCCCACTGGAACTCAGCTGGGGGGGATGATGGAGCCAGGCCACCATGGATAATGCGCCAAACAGATAATCTGCTTATGAATAATTGAGCTTATTGTTAGTGTCACTGTCTAAAGCCATTGGCTGAAATTCCCCATAGACTTCCAGTGGAGAGGCAGCCTCTTCTGGAAAAGGAGCTCACACCTCGTTTCCCATTCTCTGGTTCTCCAGTGAGGGAGCGCAAGGAACCTACACACCTTATTTGGTTCCTCTGGACTTGTCCCCTACCCACCCCAACTCACATCACACGTGGAGACACAAAGGAGGAGGAGATTCGGAGCAGACGGGGTTTCAGGAAGTCGGGACCCTTTCCGCCCTTTTCCAGCCTGGGCCGTCAACTACTCCGGGCCACTCAGGTGTCCCGATAGGAGCAACTTTGATTAAAGGTCTTGATCCAACTAAGGCAACCCCAAAGCTTCTGGAAGTGTTCCTCCACCGCATCACTTCTTCCTGCTCTTGGAGGCCCTGTCTGGAGAATCATCAGACTTCATCTCCTCCCGAAGAAATGATTAAGTAGCCCACTCCTGCCCAGCTAGGGGCATCCTGGACTTGGGAGGATCCTGCCACTGATGAAAGGAGGCTGGGCACCCAGCAGAGCTGAGGACAGCCCAGTCCAGGTCAGGGCTGGTTCCGCCACAAAACTCTCCAGTGACAGGGAGGGGCTTAATGAGCACATCATGGGCCAGATCTGGGAGAAGTCAAGGAGCAGCAGCCCTGGGCAGGGCCAGCTGTTGGGTTGTGAGGAGGAAGGAGGCTCAGGTAGATGGAGGTGGTGGGGAGTAGATAGGAAAGGAGGGGGCAACCTCTTCCTCATGGGAAAGCAGTGGAAGAAAGGGAGACAGATGCTCCCCCACCCCCAGGCACCCAGAGAGGCCTGGGGCCACCTCCAGGCACATGGTTTGTCTCACATACTCCTCAGGAAGCCCACAGTGCAGCAGCAGGCCTCGCCTCCTCTGCTAAGTCTCTTGTTCCCCCAGCAGTGCCCATCTCACATGGTAGGTATTCAGCAAACACCTGCCTGCTTAAATGAACTGCTGTGCATGAGGACGTGATTACAGGCAAGCACACACTCTGCTGTGGGGTGGGAGATGGGTGTCTGGGAGCCTGGGGCAGTCGATGTCCCTGAGGGTAAGGAAAGTGTGAGAGAGGAACTCAGAGCTGTTACCTGTATCCTGTCTTCCGGGAGCTCCGTTTTCATGGCCAACATCTCCCGGGCATAGACGTCTGGGTAGTGGGCCTCATTGAATGCCTTCTCCAGCTCCTCTAGCTGGTAGGAGGTAAAGATTGTCCTGAGGGGAGCAAAAAAGTTCAGTCAGGACCCCAAAAATGGAAAAAGCTGTCCCAGAGAGGACAGAATGGCCCTCCCCCATGGCTCCTGGACAGACCCCAAACCCAGGCTTGGCCAGCACAACCGGATGCAACCTCCCTCCCTGCCCCCTCCCCCATCCTCTAAACTCTTCTTCATTCAAGTCTGAGGGCCCACACTACCCTTCTGGTGGTGAGGAGTATTATTTCAGCCCTCAGTGACATTTTATACTGGGAATCTTCCTGGAAGTGCTTGGGGGGAAAGGGTGTTAAGACACAAATTTTAGAAAACTGCAGAAAGCCCCTCTTCTTCTGGGCACAGCGTGGAGGGCTCACCAGGTGAATAAGTGCCTCAGCCTCGTCGGGACCAGCTTCCCGGGCTCCTCCCACAGACAGGAGGGTTGGTCTTTTAAATTGTACTCAGAGTTCAAAGATTCACCAGAAGGTCAAATGCAGCAGCCACCCCAGCCCCAGCGTCTGTACAGCAGAGAACTAACTGATTCCAGCAGCCCCTCACCCTACCTCAGCACGCCCGCTCTCCTCACCTGCCCAGACCTAAAGGCTCCTTAGAGCCGCCCCACGCAGTCTTGGGGGCAGGGAGATGGGAAAGGGGGTGCTCTGTCTCTTCTTGGGCTCAGAAGTGAAGGGTCACCTCCCCGCCATCCCACACACAGGCTCAGCCACTCACCCAGCGGGAGCCCCATTCAGGGGAGTTTCATTCAGGTCATCCCGAGAGTGCCTTCCCACACACTCCCCCAGCGCCCACAGAGCGGTTCACATTGACCTATTCTGAGTCATAAACTGCTTTAAGAATCCAGTAAAAGCCACATCCTCTCACCCTAGCAAATGGATATGCTCCAGTACATACAATGTTTTACCTCCAATATTAGGGGATTCATATCCCCCTTTCTTGAATAAATACACTACACACCCACTTACAGACACAAATTCTTTTTTCAGCCCTGAATTTCACCAGGTTCTAGGTGACCTTTATCCTGCACCCTCATCAACAAGCCGGGGAGCAATATAGTCCAGATTTGTTCGTAGACTCCACTTGAACAATGGTACCTTCCCTGCTTGAGCCTCCGGGATTTGGACCCTGGGAACAGCATGGGAAGGGGGTGTGTGGCTTAAAATCCCTCGCTGCTGCCCTCGCCTCGCCCAACACAAGGAAAAAGTACAAATGTCAGCCCCGTATACTCCTTGTGCTGGTGTTGGCTTTAACGTCTTGGAGGATGATGCGGGGGGGTGGAGGGGGATGTGTGAGAAAGAAAGATTCTCTCTTTATAGAAAATGACTGGTTTGATTCTAAATTGTTTCTCCTATCCTCTCGGGGAGAACAGAATGCTTATGTATACAGAAAGTTAATTCTTCAGAATTTTGAAGATCTGCTGCTTTCTATTCCTCTCCTGCCACTTACCGAAGGGTCCCTGAACAGTCAAAATAAACAATCAAAACATGCAAGTCTTTTTCAAAATTAGGAAAACTGAGGCACACAGCTATTGGGGCGTGGCCAAAGCCAAAGAGGAAAGGGGATGGCAGGTCATTCAGAACCTTTCAAGTGCCAGCCTCGGCTTGGGAGAGCTCTCATTAAAAACAAACAAAAAACCCAAAACAAAAAAACAAACCAAAAACCAAACCAAACAAAAAAGAAAGGAATTAAGAAAGAAACAAAATGAAGCAACGCCTCAAATCCCCCAAACTTCCCCTCATTCCTGCCTCAGAGCTAATCCACGTGTTTATGCTGATGTGCCCTCCAGGGAGTCTCCCTGCGCCCCGTACAATGTGACCCAAACCCTGCTCCTGGCTTTACGCAGAACCCCAGACCCTTCAGTTTCCCATTGTAACCAGTCTATCAGAGCTGAGCCTTCCAGGAAAAGGGAAGAGCAAAACCTGAGAGACTCCAAAGGCTGCTGCTCCATTCCCACTCCCCTCTCTAACCCCTGCTAAGCCTCTTGTGTTTCTGGGTGATCAAGAGATGCTTGCTTCTCATCACCATATTCCAGGGTCTCTTACCTGAACTCCCCAAATGAGAGAGGCTCAGGAAAACACATTTTTTACTAATTAAAAATTGCAGCAGCCATTCTCCTCTCTCCAATAATCTGTCCCCTTTGTGTACCAGAAATAGCCCGAAACCTAGGGCTGTTGTCCTGTCTCCCTGGGAACCCTCCAAAGCACCCAAATTTTCCCTGGTGGAGAGGGTATCAGGTGAGGATAGAGGGTTAGAAAACTTAAGCATGGACTTTCGGCCGTGGGTCAGTCAGCTCCAAGTGCTGCACAAGGAGGTGCCGCCATGCAGAAGCACTGCTCCTGGGGGTGCTTTGTCCGGGGCTCTCCTGGCTGTGGGAATCCCTCCCCCACCTCTATTCGGTCAGCAGCACAGAAGCCGGTCAGCCGGACTCCAGCCTGCCCTCCGGGTCCCTGTCCCTGCTGGAGGTCCCTGTCCAGGCTCCAGAGGCTGACAGGATTACCCCCACCCTGCCACCAGCATGATATGAATGCATCGGAGGTGTTTTAATGAATATTTGCTGGACGGATGAATGTAAAAAATGACCCAGGATCAGGACTAAAAAAACAACGTTTCCGTTTACAATAAAACAAGACAAAATAAAACAAAAACAAACAGCCGCCTGAAGGGAACAAACCGAGGTCACCAAGAAACCAAGTCAAAGTTCACCCCCATTCAAGCCAGAACCTGTTGGGGCCTGAGAGGTGAGGAAGAACCGTTTTAAAACGTGGGGGTCATTTCCGGGGGTGAAGGAAGAGAGGAACGCAGAAAAGCACCCAGAGAAAGGGTGCAAAGAGGCTGAGAACAAATTGGGGAGAAGAGGATGAGGTGGAGAGCACCCCAGTGGGAAACGTCCACCCAGCGATCGGGAACCCTGCGGGCGCTCCATCCGCGCTGGGGCGGAGAGAGATCTGGGAAAACAAAGCTAGGGTAAGCGCAGGGGCAAACAGCACCCGCAGGAAGTCAGGTCGATTTTTGGTTCTCACTCCTTTATTTGTTGAAAACCTCCTCATACATTTGCACAAGGAATTGGTAGCGGCTGCGGAAGGGAATGCGGGTCTGGTGTGGGGAATTACTTTTCAGGATATACCTTTCTGCACCTACTGTATTTTAACTTTGTGCAAGTAATGTCTATTTTTAAAATATTTAAAGAAAAACAAAAACAAAAAACCCTCGCTCTTTAGTCTGTATCCTCCAAGGCAGCCCACTCCACTCCAGCGAGGGCTTGCGGAGTCCTTCAGTGCACACACTCCTCCCTCCGCATTTTACAGACAAGGAAACTGAGGCTTACGGATCACAGAGCAGCAGAAGCCAAAGGAAAATTTGCCATCCATGCGGGTATCACGCTCGAGATTTTGCGAACGGTGGGCGCAGAAAGATAGGGGGTTGGCGGCGCTGACAGGGACGGCGGGAGAGGAATAGGGGCCGGGGCAGAGGGCAGAGGAACCGGCTCCGGCGGGAGGGGAGAGCCGATCTGCCCGCCCGGAGTTGTGCGTGGCTCTCCGAATGTACCGATGCAGGGCTGGCACCTGGGGGCCGTCAGCTCCTGTCTGGCTCGGGTTTAGCCCCAGTTGGGGGCTTTCCTTTCTCCCGGAGAAGCAGGAGAAAGCCTGAAACGGTGCCGCTTCCCCGGCGGACGGTCAAGGTCCTCACCCGGCACGGCCGGACGCCAGGGCCCCGGACGGATGTCCCCAAACAACGTCCGGTCTCCCCGTCCTGGCACAGCAGCGGACCTCAGATCTAGAGCCGGCGAAATTAGGGTCCGAGCGACCCTACCCCCGATCAGGGGACGACGGCAGGGGATAGGTGAGCAGGAAGGTGACAGAAAACGCTGCAGGGGCCTTACCTGTGTCGCCGCTTCTTCCGTTTCTTGGTCTGATTTAAAGCCGATTTGGACATTTTTCGGTCGCTGGAGGAAACATCTTCAGAATCTGAAAAGCGGGCGGAGGCACGTGCGGCAGAATGGGGGACGCGCTCCGCAGCACCCGGGCGAGTCAGGCTCCCGAAACCCGCGGGGGCCCCACCCCCGGCGGCCTCCGGGAGCAGCCGGGCCTGCTCCGTCTCCCCGGAGAGCCCTCCGTGAGGTCTACACCATCCCTAAGCCGCGGCTGTTTCTACCCACGCCGGCGCCGCAATCCCGAGGTCGTGAACACATTCCGTTCTGTTTCGTTCTGAGAAGCAAAGGCCCAGACACGCCTGGGCAGGGACAGCAGGGGGGCGCGACAGCCTCCGCGGGTCGCAGAGCCCCCCGGCGGTGCCCCGGGTTCGGCGCCCTGCCCTGCGCTAGCAGCCGTGGCGCCGGGGTTCGGAAGGTGGCCCGCAGGAGCGGAGCCTGGGCGCGGAGAGCTGGACTCCGGGAAGGGCTGGGGGCTCCCGGGCACAACCCCCTTTCCAGTGCCCGCACCATGCGCCCCCCCTCAGGACTGGAGAGACTGCGACGCACCACTTTTCGTTGCCCCTCCAAATAAAAATAAATTAATTAAACGAGAGCGAAAAATCGGGGAAATCGCAGAGCGCGAACCAGAGCCGGAGGGCCGAGGTGGCGGAGACGTGAGGCCGGGAAAACTGCCCGCGGAGGGCGCGGCAGGGTCGTCCAGGGGTCCCGAGCCCGCGAGGCGCCGGGATCCGAGATATTGTGCCGCTTAGGTGGCATCTCGGATTGCGACCCCTTGGGCCGCCGCCGTGGCCGGGTTGTCTAAGCTCGTGAGGAGAAAATTAAAACCCAGCTGACCAATGCGGCAGGCTTGGAACGGAGGAAAGGAGGAAGGAAAAGACAACTTTGGACACCAGGGCTGGAGCCCGAAGCTGGCACCCGCTTCCCGGGCCGCCAAAGCCCGGAACGGAATCGGGCTCTAGGAGCGCGGGTCCTCCGAGAGGCCGGGGCCGAAGTGGAGCAATGGAAGGGGACCCCCGACTGCCCCACGCGCTCCGACACCCTAAGCCTTGTTTCCAGCAGGGCCCCAATCAGGCGCCGCGGCAGAGCCGGGCCCGACGCGGGGACCGGAGCACAGCTCGGCCGGCGGAAGCGCGGAGGCCAAAACCCGGCCGCAGCCGGGAGCATCCTCCGAGCCCCCGCCCCGGGCGCGCCGGCTCCAGGCCCGCTCTGCGACCTCTCGGCCTGGCACGAACTTTTGCACCCGGAGGAGGCCTTGCGGTGCAAGCGAGAGTCGACGGCGTGGGGTTCCCGGCTCTCACCCCTGTCAGGCAGCCACACAGCCTCGCCCTCACCTACCCGAGCTGGCCGTCTGGCTGGTGTCCAGCGGCCCCGACGCTCTGCCCAGCGGCTGCAAGTGGACGCTCTGCGGGTCGGACAGCACTTCCAGGAAGGTGGGCTGTGCATAGAAACCGGGGAGCCCCCCGGGCCCCAGTAGCCCCATACCGCCCACTCCTGCGGGACTGAGCACGGAGCGCGCAGCCAGCAAGTGCCCGGGGGCCAGACCGTCGAGGGGAGCCCGCGGGTGGGAGCTGGGGGGCTCCTTGTTCAAGCCCAGGATCTCCTGGATGCCAAACCCGGTGCACCTGCCCGGGGCGCCCCCCGAAGTGCTCTTGGCCACTGTCTCGGCTTTGGGCTTGCTCAGCGCTTCCCCGGCTTTCCCCGTCATCTCTCGGCTCTTTGAAGGGGCTGAGGCCGCAGGTCTTTTGCTCCCCCCACCCCCCCGCCGGGCTCCCCGCTTCACGAAGTTGGTCCCAGGTGCCCCCTCCGATGTCTAATGCTCTGGAGCCCCAAGGAGATTCCCCTTTTATCCAACCAGGCGGCAGCCCAAGTGGGGTCAGAGCTGAGCAGCCAATCACCGGGGCCAGGAGCGATTAGGAATTCCAAAAAGCTGGCAGCTCCCGCCGCGGGCAGCACTGAGGGGCCAGGGCGCTGGGGGCCAGGCACCGGGTGGGCTCTGCAGGACGCCTATGGGCAGGGCCCCAGAGGCTGAGATGAGACAACAAGGTTCAGGGCCGTTCCAGGAGGCTGAGTGGCTAGGGATTCTGGGCAGAGCTGGCTTGGACAGTCCCTGGGGTGGGGTGGAAGGATGGACTGAGGGCAGGTGCTAGAGACTGGGAGTCCTGCTGCCTCCCTCGCATCCTCCCTCCCTCCCTCCCTCAATCCTATACAGGTTTGGCAGGATCAAAGAAACCCAAATATGGGACCACTCCGAAAAAGGCAGAACGAGGAAGGGGCAAGTGTCCTGGGCAGGGTGTGTTGTGGCAACGGGCAGAAAGAAGGGGGTTTGAAGAGGGAGATGGGGTGGGAGAGCTCAAAGCTTGTCTCCCCAGCACAGGATGCAATGCCTAGTTCAGAAGAGCTACTCAATAAATATCGCCCAATGAATGAATAAATGAATAAAGGGGTCAGGAGTAGGGGTTCCTGGAGGGAAAGAAGAGTGGTGGTGACTTCTTTTGGAGAACACCGGTGGACACCTGAACATCTTCCTAGAATAAACATGAAGGGTCGCCAACTTCCATGGAAAGATTTCATTACTCTTCTAACCATTCACTCAACTAATATGTATTGAGCCCTTACTAGCTCTGAGCAAGGAGCTAGGGGTTCCCAGTAAATCAGATAGACAAGTCAGGGGGTCTGCTATACCTCAGAGTTCACTGAACAGACAAATGAAGCGGATGGCATTGTTGAAGTGGAGGGAAGGAGGAGGGAGAAGGGAGGGTGTGAGAGGCAATTAAAAGGTGAGCTTCTGTGCCCATTCGATGGGGATCCCTTGACTAACTCCTGTGTCAGAAACTGCAGAAGTGCAGCCAGCTGGGCCAGTTGAAAAGTGGTGAGAGGCTGCAGGGAACTGCTCTAGGCAGGCAGGACCCTCACCTGGAGAAACAAGAAAAGCTTGAATTCCAAAGGTGGGCAGTGGAGCTACTGGTTCCTTGCTTTCAGGGAGGATGGCTCCCTTGGGTCCAAGTGTTAAGTGAAGGTGATTCTATACACACACACACACACACACACACACACACACACACATGTACGTGCACCATGGACCCCGGAGTCCCTGCACTCCACCTCCTCAGCTAATTCTTCTGTGAGCTTTGTGGGACTAAGGACTGTCTATCTACCTTGGCACCTTCCTCTCCACTGTGCCTAGCATAGCATACAGTGGTAGGTTTTTAATAAAGCTGTCTTGACTTGAAGGCACCCTCTGAGGGGAAATAAAGACAGGGTGAGTTGTTTTAGGCAGAGACTGGAAAGCAAGGCTGGGGAGAAATTCCATTCAGAATTTCTGGGCCAGTCAACTGCAACCCCCCAAATAGATTGAAACCCCCTAACTCTCCCAGCCCACTGCCAGGATATCTAGTGCCCTCTGTGGTTGCCGTGAGGCCAAACTGAGAAGTAAGAAGAAACCCTATAGGACATGGAAGCTGAGGCTTTGCCTAAAGGGCTGTTGTGAGGTGGGTCTTCATCTGCTCTGGGCTGGTCCACACAAGATCCAGAACTAGGCAGGTACATCCCTTAGTGCGGCAGGTGTCTGGGAGAGGGGCACTGTTCACTCCAAGGGCCGCCTCCTTATCCCACAATAATGCCATGCCTACTGTGCATCCACGCTCCCCAGCCCCTTTACATAGCATAATATCAGGTCTTCACAAGGACCCTGTTAGTATCTTGGTTCCACATTCGAAAGTTCACATACCTATTCTTACTTGCAAGGTACAGACTCAGGGATATGCAATCTCGGGGCATCTTTCACCTTTATTCTATGGAGTTGGGTTCCATGTGTCACCACTCACACAGACAACCATGTGAATGATGACCCCTAGAGTTGTGCAAAGCAGTGGCTTTGCCTTCCAGGTAAGAATTTCTATCACCATTTTATGAATATGGAAACTTAAGTTCCTAGGGAGGTTAGGTGACTTGTCCCAAGCTACCTAGCTTGTAAGCAGCAGAGAGAGGCCAGACTCAACCTCAAATGAGTCTGGTGTCAAAAGCTGTTTTCTTTTGATTCCATCCCTCTCTCGGACTCCTCTCCATGCCAACCTACCCTGGGAAGTTGAATGGGGAAGTTTTGTTAATGGCAGCTGTCATATCCCTGACTTATCAAGGGACATCCACCATGAGCCAGATGCCAGCCTATGGGCAAGGAAGTGAGTGATGGAAAGCAAGCATGTGAGTGATGGAAACCCAGCTCTTGCCAGGAGAGGAGGATGAAAAATCTCTTGACCAAACACTATATGTGAAGCTGCCATTTCCCACTCCCAGCGAGACAGTCTCCACCCTGCCCTAGGAGGCTGGGAATGGGGACAACCCCAGGCCCTCTGAGAGGCACCCTCGCCAGAGGCTACAGATGAAGGGAGGGCCCAGCGTCAGCCTGCAGCCAGTCCCGCCCTTGGAAATGGACTCCTGAAGGACTCCTGGTTGGAGGGCTCTCTCTGAGCTGCCTAGCTGAGGTCAGACCAAAACTGAGGACATTTGTGGATTTGGGGTCACGGGGGGGCAGGGCTGGGGCTACAGGGAAAGGCTGGCCCCCAGGGCTTGGCCTGGGGGAGTAAATTGTACCCTTTCAGAGGCATTTAGCTTGGTCACCTTGGACCCACATCCTGGGTCTGTCGCCTAATCGCTCTGTGGCTTAGAGCCAATCATTTAACTTCCCTCTTAGCTTCTATTGCTTTATCTACGAAACAGCCTGACACTGGACTTGTGAGCATTCCCTGACCCCCTGAGTTAGCACAGGGGGCAAGGGCATGGGCTCTAGAGACAGATTTTCTAGGTTCAGACTCCAGCTCTATCACTTGCTTGGTGACCTTGGGAAAGTTACCCAGCTTCTCTTTTCCTTCTGTGCCTCAGTTTCCTCATCCATAAAATAGGGATAATGGTAGTACCTACCCCTTAGAACTGTCATGAAGATTAGAAATGTACAGTGCTGAAAATGGTGAATAAGGCTATACTGTGAGTATACAAAATAAGACTACAAAATAAGGTTCCTGGGAGTGTTGGTTATTATCATCATCATGCAGGAGGATACTATACTTGGGACTGACAATATGGCGGGGAGCAAGACAGACCTAGTCCCGGCCTTCATGGAGTTTGGGCCAGCGATTGAAGGAGCTGCTGTTTTTAAAGCATTTAACATGGTGTCTGGCCCTGGGGACTCCAGACATCACGATTCTTACTACTATTATTAATGGGTGTCAGACCCCTTATGGCATTTAATCCACTCAACTTCTCAAGTTCTTTCCCCCTTGTTACAAATAAGATACTAAGGCTCAGGGAGGGAGATTAGGGATGAGGGACGATGCCATCTCCTTTCTTTGCTGTGATGCTGGTCATTTTTAGCACCAGTTGCAGCCAAGTCATTGTCTCTTGCTAGCTTCTTCCCTGAGTCGCCTCCCAGCCGTCAGCAACAATTTTTGGAGGGAGGAGGGTGGAAAATGCAAGGAAGAGAAAGGATCTGTGTTTGAATCAATAATCCCATTATGAATCTGTCACCCACGAATGTGTTTCACTTTTTTTAATGCTCTTGTGTATTTTGGGCTTACCCCTTGAGAGTACACCTTGTCTTGTTGTGCTGGACAGTTGTCCTGGCAGAGTCCCTGAGCTCCAGCTCTCTCATCCTCCTCTCATCAGACACTGGGCCAGAGAGCCCATCTCCCCTGTTCAGTAAGTAGCTGGTGCTACGAGAAAAACAGGAGTGATTTTGATTCACATTTAAGTTATACACAATGAACATTTATTAAGTTCTGAACTTTTTCACACTGTCTCAGCAAATCCTCCCAACTATCCTGAAAGATGTATATCATTTTTCAAATGAAGAAGCAACCTCAGGGCTTCCCTGGTGGCGCAGTGGTTGAGAGTCCGCCTGCTGATGCAGGGGACACAGGTTCGTGCCCCGGTCCGGGAAGATCCCACATGCCGCAGAGCAGCTGGGCCCGTGAGCCATGGCTGCTGAGCCTGCGCGTCCGGAGCCTGTGCTCCTCAACGGGAGAGGCCACAACAGTGAGAGGCTCGGGTACTGCAAAAAAAAAAAAAAGAAGCAACTTCAGAGAGGCTAGGTGACCTCCCCAGGAACATGCAGCTGCCAAGAGCCAACCAGAGTCCAAATCCACCGCATTCTTGTTTTCTTGAAGATGGAACCAGAGCCTCAAACAGAGGAAGGGAGCTTGGGTATAGGCAGGCAAGTGATGCCCCAGCAATGCTTGAGCTACCATCCTGCCCTGCCGAGAATGGCAGAGGGAAAAGGAAGGGACACCAGAAAGGGTCGAGAAGGGCTACTGAGGTCAAGGCTGGTGAATCCCCAGAACCTCAGTCTACGAAGAGCACCTTACCTCAAACATCTGGGCTGGTTTCCTTCTCCTAGTTCTCCAAGGAATAATCTATACCCTTTGGACTTTTCTTGGAGGGGCCCAGGGATTGGGAAGGAAGGAATAGACTCTTGGCACTGCCTTCAAGCCAGTCTTGTAAACCTTGTCACCAGGTAGGTGTTCCAGGTGCCATCTGCAGCTCAGGCTCGTATCCCAGCAGAACGCCACCCACCAGCTTTCAGGTGCCCACAACTCCCTGTCTCCTCCCTCCCTCAGCAGTAACCATTCCTTAGCCACTCAAGGGAAAAGAAAAACATCCCACATGTATCACCCTTGTCTCTTCCCTAGTGTTCACCTATGGGCAGTGTGGAAC